GGGATTTATTGAGTTGGTTTTGCTTCTTCTGTCACACATGGATAGGGTCTAATGTTATGTTATGTAAAATATTGAATTTTTTTTTTCCTGGTTTTTGTTATGTAGAAGTATGTATGAGGAAATAGAAATATACGTTTATAGCAACGACCATGCGAAACTGAGTCACATCAAATTATCCTGTACGCCTAATATCTCGACACCAGTCCCGTAAATCCCAGTCTAAGAACTGGCGAAATTGCATATATTATTTTTATACACGGCCGTCATAGTACAGGTAGGGAAGGTAGGGCCAGCCCAGGGCTAAAGCCATGCCGGGGAAGAAGCTGTGGAAAGAGAAAACTCGGTCAGCCCATTTTCATGGTAAAATACATCAGGTGATTTACGTCCAGACATGGGGTGATGTTCAAATGCCAAAAGAGGGGTGAGGGGGCAAGGAAGACGGGACCGGAGTGGAGAGAAGATCCCTCGGGGCGGAGCTTACATCACGGCTTGTGAGCCAACACGGCGAAACTGCCTTCCCCAGTCGGCGGGTGCAGACTTGGCGGATACAGGCAGACGCTCAAAGGGATGGGACTCCATTGAGCGTCCAACCTGGCGAAGAGATCGGATGATAGAGAATTGACGGCGACCCATGGTGCGCACCACTTGAGCGGTAACGGGAGACATGATGGAGAGGGGTTGTTTGTTGTTCGTGAGAGAGTCGTAAGAGGAGGGTTATTAATCCTTGGCGAGGATAGACAAGAAGATTGAGTGGCGTGGAAGAGGAAGGAGGGGAGTTGAGTCAACCGCGAGGTTTGATCTAGTTGTTTGGATCGTGTATGTTCCTTTGATGATGAGAGAGAACAACCAGGAAGGAGGGTACAGATCCTCGTGGTTATTATACTCTGGACGAACAGCCGCCCATGCCTAAGAAGGGCTCCTACATGGATACGTATATCCCAAAATCGCCGTGACATCCTCAAGATTCCGACTCCTTTCGTACGGCGGAGTCCTTAGGCGAGGAGGAATAGGTAAGAGATGGTCCTCTGATCCCAAATATCACGCCACATCTGACGCAGAGGCATGGATTCTGGTAGCCGGCCACACGGCGAGCTCCAGCTCTCGAGCCTCATGGTACGATGCAAACCGCAGGCGGCCGGCGCCGGGGGCCCTGGTACGTCCTTCAAACCCGCATGGCCTGACAGCGAGGAGAAGCCCGGGATTAACCAATTGTTACCAGTTCATGGGTCAGCAGAAACAGGGCGCCGGGTGGGGGTGGGGGCGAATTGGCCAATCAACAGCGCTGCCTGCTTTACCCGCAGCATCGAACGATTCTGAAGGGTGTTCTCGGGCTTTTGTGACTGGTTGGCTGAGATGGCCAGTCTTGTGAGCTGAAGAAATCTGCTGCTGGGCGAAGAAAAGCATATCGGGACGGCGGAAAGATCTAGGCGAATCTCATCATACGTAGGATTATTCTCGATTCAATGATCGGCCATCGTTGCGGCGTGATGCGGCGACCCGGACCAAGTGATATCACCAGATTTACCAGGTACGAACGGCAAAGACAGTAGATCTAAACAGCTGACATAATGGATGAGCTTGTTTCATGGAGCTTTCTCAAGCTCTTCTCTATGATGACCAAAATGGGTGGCCGTTTACAGCAGATAGAAGAAGTGTCAACTTCAAAGCAGGATAAATAAAAATACATACATCGAGATTGTACAATCGTTGAGCGTTTGTAGGCGGGTTCTTGGTGAGATTGAACATTGGATGAAAGGCATAGGGCTGTTAGTACGTAGAGTGACAGCGGGATGCAACCTGGAAGCACGTGAGCTGGCGTTTGTCAAACGCGTCGGGTCGCCCCGCTGGAAGAGGATCCACGCGCTGGACGCTGGCTTAGGCCTTGTTCCCACGTCATCGCAACGGCCAGTCGCACGACAAAGCTAAGCTACGGCAGCGGACAGTGGATTGCCATAGCACGGTGCGACCTATGAGTCCGAGATCTCAATAATGTGGCTCTTGCAGAGCGATGAGGCCTTCGACGGCATGTGAAACCCACCTCCTCAGGAGACATCGCATTGACGTTATGTGACTGACACCCCGTTCATTCCTTAGGCCGAAAGCTGTGGTTGAGACCTGGCAAAACGTATCTCTTCGGGCGGACAGTGTCGGAAGGTAGGTGCCTACACTAACCCGTACGATGGTTGCATATCTCCTCTGACTGTTCTTGCTGCGACAGCCGGCCAGCTTGCGATTTCGCACAACACGATATCTCGGAAGCACCTTACCATCACCGTCGACAATGTCCAGCCGGGGCATGCATACAACCTCTCTAGCCGGTCTGGAGTTACCATCGAAGACCTGAAGACCAAGATAGGAACAGTGGTCAATGGCCGGAAGATAAAGGGTGACCGATTCGTTGTTGATGGCGACGAGGCTGAGATCACCATGGGCAAGTGTCCAAGCAAATTTGTGTAAGTAAAAGCATGGTTTGCGGTACTTGTCAATTGTTTCTGACCTTTCTAGACTATCTTGGAATCCCGTAATATTCACATTCTCTTTCACGAAGAAGGAATTACAGACTCAGCCGCTCACAACACTCCAAGATCGGTTCGAGAACCTTGATATCAAGCTCTTGACCGAATACAGCGCCAAGTACACCACCCACGTCGTCTCCAAGAAGCGAAACACTGCGAAAGGTCTACAGGCTCTGATAAATGGAAAATATATCGTCACTGAGACCTTCCTCGACGCTGTAGTTGAAGCTGCCGCAGCCCCGATCGGGGATGGCTCGGAAAACAGCGCGCTCGAACAAGATTATGAGGCCAGCTGGCCTGACCCAATACAACATCTTCCACCACGCGGTGGGGAGCCTGTACAGCATCCAGACGAGACCTATAGCCCTGACTCTGAACGACAGGAAGTTTTTGAAGGATACACGTTTATCTTTTACGACAAGGCACAGTATGACAATCTTCTAGCTCCAATCACCAATGGCGGTGGGAAAGCCTTTATGGAAATTGTTGAGGCAGGGGAGACAGAGGTGGACAATTTCATCAGCCGTGTCAAGGGAATCGCCGGTGAACAAGCCCTCGGAGACGGAGGAAAGGGGGCGGTCCTGGTTAGATTCGTCCCGGCAAAAGGAGACCAAATACCGTGGTACACGGACTTCTTTACTGCCGTCTCTCTACGCTTGGATCATCGTCCAATCGAACAGAGTGAATTTCTTGAGGCAATTTTGGTCAAGGATGCCAGCATTCTACGTCGACCTCTTCAAGTTGACGATTCAGCAACTACCCAGCCCCCTCAGCCTGACGCAAATACACGACAAGAACCTACCCGAAGTGATGCAAATGCTGCATCGCAAGATGAACCTCAAGTCATACAAGAATCAAGACCCGCTCCCCGCAGAGGCCGTACTCGGACTGCTGTGAAGCGTCGGTTTGCAGGGTTTGATAACGACTCAGATATTGATATGGATGAAACGCCGTCAGTCCCCCCCACCGAGAGCAATGCAACCCCACAGCAAGAGGAGCAAGGCTTGTTCATGTCTCAAGAACCCGGGGCATCACAGGAGCCTTCGGGGCCTTCCCGGGGTAGCAGGTCACAAAGAAAAAGATCGCCTCCGCATGCGGATGATGATATGGGCGACCTGGCACCTGCTGCAGCCAGATTCAAACGCCAACGGTTAGAAAGAGGAGACCATTTTGCTTCGCCGTCACCGGAGCCAGAGCCGGAACCCGAGCCTGTCAAGCCACCAAAAAAGAAAAAAAACGAGCTTGACGTACTTGCTCTAGCTGCGCAAAATCGAGAACAGGAGGAGGCCCGAGCTCAAGCAGAGAAGGAAGACTTGGCACATCTCCCTGATGATATCGATTTATCACAAATCCGCAAGCTTCAAATCGTTGAGAAGATGGATATGAGAGATCCTTCGTCTGCTGTACGGAACCGGGAACTGGATATTGCTGATGGACGGTGGAATCCCAAGTGGAATGGCATGAAGAATTTCAAAAAGTTCCGTCGCCGTGGCGAGGTTACGGGAAGGGCACCGGCAAGGGTCATCATCTCGCTGGCCGAAGTCAGGAATAAGGAGTTTGGAATTGGCGATGACTATTGGTTGGAAAATGAAACCCAGCGGAAGAAGACCAATAATAGCCAGCCATCGGGCACCGAGTCACAACCATCGGCACCACGGGTGGAGGCTCCAGCACCTCGAGCACCGCGGATCATGATGTCTGATAGCGAAGATGAGGCCCCGCAACCAACTGACAACAGCAGCGCCTCCCAAAGGCGGACAAGAACGACCCAGCGTGAGTCAGGGTTAGCCAGCCAGTCTTCACGGGCCACCACGCAGAGCCAGGGCAAGCGGCCGGCCCCAGAGCCTCCAAAGGCACAACCAGCGAAGAGGCCGCGACAGGCACGGAAGGTCATTGAGATTGCTGATAGTGACAGTGACGATGATCTCAAATTCAGATTTGGTAAGAGACGGTAGTAGGAGGCCTGTCTCTCAGTACATAGGGTATCTTTTCTATCTAGATGAAAAGGAATTCTCGGTGGCATTTCGCCAAACGTATCCTCTATTCGTACACCTACCTCATCCATACAAACGTTTGATTATGGATCAGTCCATTTGTTCCATCTCACTCACATCCTCGGTACCTTCAGGCTCATCCACCAGAAGGCCCACGAGGCAGGCAGAGAGCATCGTATCATAATTTACCCATGGGTGAACCTCTCCAAATATCTTAGTTGCGTCCTTGCCCGCCCCCCTCAGTAGTTCAGGTATCCCCCCAGGGTGGAATTCGGCATAGGGTGTAATATTGTACACTTTGCCATTCAGACCCATCCACGCGTCCTTGCCCTTTCGCCCCGTTTGACTCTTCAGCATCGAGGGTGTTACGCGTAGGTATGGAGTAGAGGAGGGCACGCCTCGTAAATCGGAGCTGGGCCCAGATATCCGCGCCCAGTCGAGCGGAGAGTGACCAGGCGTTAGGACCACCTTCCGGCTGGGCTTTGTAGGGATGGATGAGTGTGTCGGGGGAGGGGCAAGCCCAGAGGACGAGGGGCCGCGGTTTGGAGTTGGGCCACGGGCGCGTTGGGCGGAGTTGGCGGCTGGGAATTGTGCGAGACGTGGAGGGTTTGCCGGACGAGGAGGTGGTGGCATCAACGATGGGGTTGAGCCCTGTGACGGCGCAGAAAAGGAAGATGCTGGCACGGTATCAGAGTACTCATCGTCGCCTATGGAGAAGCTGGGCACTGGCTGTAAAGATATCGCTGGCGATGCCTTCGGCGTTGTTTGCTCCTCGCTAGGCTGGTCAGCATTGGAGGGACTCTGGGAACTGGACGCTGGCGAGGCTATCGACGCTAATGGCGGCATGGAGCCTTTGCCAGTAGCCTCCCGAGCAGCTGACGGGGTGTCTTCCGAGGAGATGGCTCCGATATGTTCCCCCCGGTGTGTTCCGGGAGAATCATCAGATCGAGCCTCGCGGCGTCCCGATGAAGGGTCAGCCCCGATGCTGCCTCTGAGGAAGGCTCTCCATTGCAAGAGCCATGGGGTCAACCAACCCGGCGGTCGGAAAAATACCCAAACAACAGAGGCGACGATAAGCGAGATCCCCACGGCTACCATCGTCTGCGGACGTCATACGATGGTGGGATGGTTTGCGGGATCGAGAGGGGCGTTGAAGATTTCACACCCATGTTCTGTTCTCTCGGAATGGAGACGTGCAAGGGGGGGGGAGGTTTGAGTTGTAGGAGGCTTCTCTCGCAGTCCCTATAATTTGTCGTGCAGGGCCAAAGTTCCCCACAGGGCCTGCCGTGAGATATGCGGAGTTCGTACTGGTGGTTGTACAAGTACCACGCGGCATTAGTAATTTATGCAGAGGCCGCACGTTCTTGTACACGTGCCATTAATAAGAAGGTCCCTGGGCGCTGAGTCCCGGGTCCTAAAATAGCGCCCCAGGTGACCTACGCTCTTGCCCCAAACAGGCGATCTGGTCTGGCGGGCAGGCAGCTATGGAGGCGCCTGTGATTCTGTGGAGGAGGAGAGGGCCAAGACAACCTTGAAAGCAAGGAAATAGTGCAGACCGGCCCCGAGTAATGTCAGCACAGCTGCCCGACCTTCATGTCGAGTGAATGCCAGGCTGCACGGGGCATTCGGTCCCACGCCTAGGGGGGAATTCCTCCGATGTTCTCTAGCTATCCGAGCCAAAATCGATCTCTCGACAATGCGCATTGCTTGCTTTCATGCCGTAAAATACCCAATTCCCTTAGCCTGTGAAAGCCTCTCTCACTCCCGGAGCGGCCGCTAATTTCTGACCTTGACGCCCAAAGGCCCGGCCACTACAAATCGAGGGGCCGTGGCACAACAGTGACGCACATCCACTAGGTCACCGCCCTCTGGCACTGCTCCAGGTCGAAAAAGTTTATGATGCGATCTCTCGATGTAGCAACAACAACACAGCCGAAACATCCCGACGAATCGACGCGCCCCAACAACCCCAAGGCTGTGCGTAGCTTCAGCTCTCCCAGCTCCAGCCAGACATTGGGCAGCGACACAAACGCCAAATTAGCAAATCTACGGCCGCCAACGATCTACACCACACCTCCCTCCTCCAATCCCGCCCAGCTGCCGCTGCCCCGTGCCCGCCCACCGCTGCGTCTCCGCAACCAAAGCCAGCAAAATGCCCCATCGCTGAAACCACGGCAGACTACCACCACCATCACAACAACAACAACAACCACGAGGACGCGTCCGGGAACCAGGACTGTGTCTGCTCCCACAATGCCCCCAGGCAGCGACAACAGTAATAGACCCCGTCATCCTCACCTGAGTGCTACTGCCGCCAAAGCCCTCACCCGACCGCCCCTTACCCCCAAGATCGCTGCCAAGACATCACCGCATCTCGGGTCGACGCCACTGTCAAGGAGGTCTCTCAACGCAGCGTCAATAACACCGTCCATTTCCAACACCCACAATGAAGATGCCTCGGCGTCCCCTGGGCTGGCATCCCATCTGCCTGCAATTACGCCACGAATAGCCAATAGGCAGACCACGTACTCGACAACAACAAACAACACACCGATATTGAGAAAGGAATCCGATATAAACGACGGAAATGGTTCGAGGCAGAACTCTCAGCAAGACTCTAGAGATTCCAAGTTCTTCTTTGCCAGCGAGGTCAAACCAGGAGTTCAGCAACCCCCTCCTCCCCCACAGCCTCAGGTGCAGCAACGGCCCGTTACCTTCTTCTACGCCAATGGATCCCAAGCGGAGAGCAGGAAGTCGAGCAGCCCCTCGAGCACCTCGTCCTTCAATCCAGTGCAGGCCTCAACTCCCGAACCCACGAGCAGGAAATTCTTCCATGCAAATGGAGCCCCGGATCATCTTCACGCAACCCACGCAACCCAAGCACCCCTCCACAGCCCTCGAGCTACACCGTCTCGGCCAGGAACAGCCAGTTCCTCTGTTAGTCAGGGACCAACACAATCTCAGCGACCAATGTCACCTGCAAAAGCTGCTACCACGCCGACATCTGCACCTTTACATCAGACCAACCCCACCCCAACAAGTGTCACAAATCGGCCAATGTCCTCGTCACCCTCAAGCTTGATTCCGGGACATATTCCTCAGGGAGGGAGGCGGGTCAGTATCGAGTCGCCAAAGAGACCTCAAAGAGGCCATGCCAGGACTGGTAGTGTACCGGTATTCGACTTTCTGACAGCTCAGAAACATGCTCAATCCCCAATGAGTGCGCCCAGCTCACCGCCACAAAGCCCAGCTTGCCAGCCGGCTATGACGATGGCGTCAATACTGCAGGCGGTCGAGGACATGAAATCCGACAGCGGCCAGGACGACGACTCCCTTGGTGAGCTTCAGAGCCCCACGAAGTCAAACCACGGCGATATTGTCAGTGATCTTGTCGCCAATGCCAGGCGAGAACGCAAGGTCCAGGATCTTGAGATAACCAACGCATCTCTCGAGGCTATCAACAGAACATTGGAACGCCAATTAAGGAGGCAGACTGCCGAGCTACGGCGAATCCGTCGAATGTCCCGGTCGGGCAAAATGATGTCCGCGGCTTCAAGCCGCGTTCCATCTGCGGCTCTGCCTGAGGTGCCTGTCGACTTCTCAGATCCCAGCGAAGAAAGCCAGGCTGAAGAAGAGCCCGAAGAACCCGAGTCGATACACGAATCCGAGTTCTCTAGTGACGATGGGTCAGCAGATGGGACCATGTCGCCTAATGCCAAGATGGCCAGCCGGCGGAAGCAGGAGGAAATTAGGCTCCAACTAGACCTTACCAAGCACCAAGAGCTACTTGTCGACAGCCAGAAGATCAACCAGAGCATCAAGCGCTGTTTGGACTGGACTGAGGGCTTGATAAAGGAGGGACAGAAAGCATTGGAATACAAAGTCAGGGTTTCAGATATCAAATTCGGTGGCCATGTCCTCGCACCTCCCGACGACGACGAAGAGGAAAGAGAGATAGCCATCCAGGAATACGATGCTGACGAACAATTGTCCTCGGAAAATCTTGAACCATGGAGCGCAGCATCCTCAAAGGATCGCGATAGTGGCATTGAGCTGCCTAGTGATAAGTGCTTGCCTTGATTCATCGGCAGATGCAACGTCAGTCGGTGAGCGCACTCGCCGCTTTAAAGCAAAGACATCAACGAATATCAACAACAAAATTCAGACATCTCACCAAGACAAAACATCATACGAAATCACGCGACCTGTGTGTCGCCGGCGAATATTGGCGGCTTCCTCTTTAATATGTTCTTTGCATCACAAAGCGATCTTCTCACCTCTGACGACTCTTTTTTTCTTTGTTATACGCCATCGGCAAGCGAGGGCGTTCTATGCGACTGTGCTCATCTCTTCGTTTCATACACGATAAACTTTTCATAATTGCTTTCTCATTGCTAGAGCGACCAAGGCTCGAAGCCTTTCTTCTTCTTCTCCCTCCCTTCACTTCCTCTCGCTTTCTCCTTTTCCCATTTTTGTTACATCTGTTTGATTTTGGTTTTCTTCAATTTACTACGGTCACGTCTCCCTTTCCTTTTGTGGATTACATTGTACAACAGATACCCCCTTGTGTTGAAATTAGCCGTTGCATTAGGATAAGCCGGCACCGATTTTATGAGTGAACCGGGCGGAAAACAGGAAGGAGATATCGCATGGTAGCCTCGGAGAGCTACCGATATAGAAGGCTAAGGCGTGCTATTTGAAAAAAAAAGGCTGGCTTCAGCCACAGACTTGAGGGGGGGGAAACAACAACCACATCTAGGAATAGAAGCCTCGCGGAGAGGATAGGATAGAAAATAAAACAAAAGCGCCCTGGGTGAAGACCCGATTCGAAGACTTTAAAACAAAACCAGACATCACGTCCGATGTATTCCTCTAATTCATTAAAGCCAAGCCAGCCAAATGTTCAATTATTGACAAAAGTTTGGTGGACTTTCTGATGTCATAACTAGTCATAAATGGATATAACCAAAAGGGGGAGAATAAAAAGAAGAGGCAAAAGGAAGACAAAGTCTATGCGTAAAACGTGCTCGTCGGGGTCTAATGAAGCCCATTATGTCCTAGACCTGTGCTGGCAAACACTCGCTTCTCGCCCTAACCCAGACAGACACTCGCTCTATTCAATACGACGCATCCCACCCTCCTTCACAGTTCATGGTTTCCTCGAGCTTCCTTTTTGGGGGGGGTATGGACAATGGATTCATCTAAACGGACGAGGTGGCTGCCGCAGAGGCCGAGTTTGAAGAAGCGGCGGCGGCGGCGGAGTATCCGTCTTTCTTGTCCTTCTTCCTCTTCTTCTCCTCATTCTTGTCTTTCTTGATTGCCGCCTCGGCGACAAGTTGCTCGAAGATGAGGTAGTCGCCCTCCTCCTCAGGTGAGCGTGCAGCCTGTATAAATATTAGCGATCTGGAGGTAATAAGGGAGTCATTAAGAAGAAAGGGGGGGTTTCCTACCTTGTTGAAGATGTCACCAATCAAGACCAGGGCCTGCGCACGCTCCAGGCGTTTGTTGAGCGGAACCTTCTTGTCGTTGAGCACAACGTCGCACACTTCCCGTAGGACGCCCTGGATCTCGAACTTGCTTCCCCGCCAGGCAGCTGTAAGGATCTTTCCGGTGACACGGCGCTCGTACTCGGCCCTCTTCTCGTCGTTCCAGTCCTCGCCGCCCTGCTCCTCCATGCGGGCCATCGCCTCCATGGTTTGCTGAGCGTCAATAGCGCTAGTAATGGTGTTCCACGTCTCCTTTACCATGTTTCCCTTGTCGCGGAGTTTGCTGAAGAAACCCCCGATACCCAGGAATTTCTGGCTACGGAGCAGTGTAGAAGCCTTTGAGACATAAGTCTGTCCGATCGCGTGGAGGATGTCAATTCCAAAGGACTCCATCTTCAGATTCTCAACCTCGAGGCGCGTCTTCTCCTGGAAGGCCCGAGTCACATCGCCGCTCTTGTCAGTCTCAGTCCAAACGCTAAGACG